TTAGATCATATAGTGGTGCTCAGATTATATAGTGCTATTCAGACTATATAGAGATATCTAGATTATATAATGATTTTCGAATTATATAGTGGTATCTAGATTATATAGAGATATCCGGACTATATAGAGATATCTAGATTATATAATGATATTCAGATTATATAGTGGTATCTATCTAACCTAAGTAGAATACCACCTATAATATAATTATATTATAGGTAATATCCCACTAAGAGATATTGCATTTAGGGAGGTAAAAATTTATGAGTGTAATATTAGTTGGGCCCAAGAGTAGACATACATTAGAGAGACTTTTCATAGGATGTGCACTTAGGAAGTCACATTTAGTGGGTCTGACTATATATAATATTACAAAAAAAAAAAAAAAAAAAAAAAAAAAAAGAAAGTAACTAGTGTAATTGTCTGTGGTAAGTAAAGGTATTAGTGAAGCGAAGAGCTAAAGATGCTATGTTAATATTATAAAAATTGAGCAATTTCATTGGTCGGATTGGCTCTGAGTCATCTCTGAGTTAGAATTTCAGATATGGAAAGCTTGTGTAACATAGTTTGTCCACCATGCTATGAAAACCCTCTCTAATATGCACGTTTCTGCTTAGTCCCAACTCATATAACAATTATAAAATTTAATCTCCCTAAGTGCACATTTTGTATTTTTTTCACTATGGTCCCGAGGGGTGTACACTTAGGGGGTACGACTGTAATGGCCCAAATATTTTTTCATGCCCCTCACCCTAACTTATACTGACTTTATTGAATTTTTAAATATTCAATTCAATCGAGATATAAAAATATCGTGCTATTAGATGTGATTTAATAAATTAATTGCAATCTTTATAACAAATTTACTGCGTTAACTCTGATATTTCTTTATAACTGATTAAATTAATTGCATATGAACCAAATATCGTCTTAATTTTTTTTTAATTATAAATACAACTTTGAGTTTGATAAGAAAAATTTGAGGAGTTATTTTAGACCTAGATCGTAACATATACTTCGCTGTAACGAACGTTACATAAATAACACATTCTTGACGAGTAATCTCCTTTATTTTGGCGTTCCTCTTTTTAGCTAAAATGAGAAATGTACTGCTCATGAGGATGTTAAAACCACAAAAGCCTATGGCACAAATACACCATAAATTTTAACATCTAACTTATATCTTAAAAAACTGACTAAGCAATCTGTCTAAATAAAAACATTCAAGATCAAGATTCAACCTAACACCTAATCTTAAACATCAAATTTTTACATTAAGAATACAACAAAACATAAAAGATGTATTATATATGAATCTATATATTTCTTTTGCTTGCAGACGTGGTATTGCACTTTTTATTATGACTGTTTTAAATTACATTTCAAAAACATGACGATTTATTATTAAATAATATTTTTTTTTAAACTAAAGTACTATATATATATACCGTATTGGCGCGTTATTTTGGGACGCGCATGCGCGGTAATTCGAATCATTTTGACAAATTTGGGTTATAAAAGTTAATGAACTTAGTCTGAAAAATTCGATCAAAATATGTAATATGGTGCATTTAAGGGGCGCGTTATTTTGGGACGTGCATGGGCGTTATTTTCAAAAAAGTAGGAGTTTCGAAATAACGCCCATGCGCGTTGTTGTAAAATTTTTAAGGTATTTTTTTATTTTTGTCTGGTATCGCCTGATAGAGAAAAATGAATTTCATGTAACTTTGCACAGCCTTAGACGTGGCTAGTGATTTAAGCCGTAAAGTTTTAGTCGACTGGCTAAGCCAGCTGACTAAAATATCAGCTAATCGGCTGGCTAAATACTATACTTCCGGAAAATTTCAGTAAATTTAGCTTGTATTTTATTTTCCTTTCGGAATTTACCGGATCCTACTATATACTAAATCATATCATCTTTAGCCGCATTAGCCAGCCGATCATATTACATTGGCTGGCTTAGCTGGCTAAGCCAGCTTTGCCGCGGCTGCCATAGCGGCTTAAATCACTAGACGTGGCCAACCCGCCAAACATAAATAATTGTAGATCCCGTCGAAAATCTTCCCTGTTTATCAATGAAAAGTTTATTATATTGACCCTTCACAATTATTATTTTAGTACTGTACACGCAGTATGCTTTTAAAAGGGAGAAATTTAAACCCCAAAGTAAGAACTTTAAGCTGTTAATTTTCAAAATTTTAATTCATTAATATATTTTATTTATAATACATAGCATTTAACGTGAAAAAATTAAATTATTCTAAATTTCTCAGAATTACTCAATAGGGCCGAAAGAAAACGTAAAATAGTAAATTAACTTTGCACCGACCAGAATTTTGGAATACAAATACTGAAATAAAAAAATCAACTTTGTTTGGTCTAAACATAAAAAAAAAACGGGAAGTTAAGCTTCACGAATTTAAGCAGTGTAATGTATATATTTTTATTAATTGTTGCTATAGAGTATATAGTATTTTCACTCCTAATAAACCTATCTCTTACAGCGCAACTTGACTCGTGATGAGCAACGTACGCACGTACGGAAATTTCCGTTTTACACTACTATACATATAAATAATCGTGTAACGTAGATGCTGGGTAACTACTTTAATTATCAACTGATTGAAAAGTTCATATCGACCTTCACAATTAGTATTTTAGTACACGCAGTGTGTTTTTAAGAGAAAATTTAAGCCTATTAATGTACATTAACACAATCTTTTATTTCTATCGTTATAGCTCATTCCAATACGCGAAACCCTAAAAATTTTAACATTTTCATCTTCGCACATGAGACCGTCGTACGAAGATATTCTCGCGAAATTGGAGGAGATATTACCATCGACATTGTGGTAGCTCCTACCATGGATGCATTCGCCCCTGCAGCATTGAAAGCAGCCGAGGAGGCGGCTGAGAATTTGATTCTTATGTCAAATAAAAACAAATAATTTTCTCGTTATATTCTTAATGCGGTTACGAATAGTCGAAGGGGAGTTTTTACTCACTTTCGTCTATAAATTTTCTCCTAATGACAGGAGAATCATATTCTAAGTTTCTTATACATACACCTCTTTTCACACCTTTTTAGCTTTTTCCTTAAATACAAATCCACCGAAGTGTGGTACACGGGTCACTCGAGCATTGACCTCCACGTGGTGTGACCTGGATAACCAACTAACAAATGTCATTTTTATTTTGCTCTTAGATAAATATATTTTTAATAACCTTTAGTAAATGTATAGTCTTTCATATTCGACTAATCGATAAATGTAGTTTTATAAATAACGCAATGTTTTAAAAAGTCTACATAAATGCACTAATTTTTATAATATATTGCTTTGTATATTAATAAAGCTGGCCCTGGTGGATGATCGCATATATAATTGTGTTTACTTTTGCATGTGTAGATAATTAATAATTTTCAGTCATAAAAAAATAATTATTCCGATCGTCACGAATCGTGACGGTTTTTGTTACGTGTTTTATTCATTCTAATTAAAATTAAATAAATCCGCTTTATATAAAAAGTTATTAAGATGCAATCCGAATTAGATTTATTAAAACAACGCATCACTGAGCTCGAAGCTGAAAATATAGAGCTTAAACATGAGAATACAAAATTAAAACAAATTATAGAAGAAAATGTTGAGTTTAAAGCCAAAATCATTAAGCTAGAACGAGCCATTGATAAAATCGAAAAGCGGGATAAAAGTATTAGCAGAGCCTTTAGTATAACTAAAGATAATGATTCTCCAACCGATTCATTACCAGTAATATCTCAATTATCTACTCCACCACCTATCGAGGATCGCCCTGATAAGGATTAAAATCAATTAAAAACTGAGCTAGTAATTTGACAAATGATTGGCTACACGTGCTACAATTTTTGCCCAATACAGCAATTTTGTATACTTATGTCATAATGACATAATGTCATATCGAGAAAGCACGTCCGTAATCTGTGACAGGTTAAGCCACTGATTTCAATCACCGTCCTTAAATCAGGATGAAAAAGCCATTTAATTTGAAAAGGCTTATTATTACGAAGTTATAAAAAACGATTTGATCGTATTTGAATATTTATTTATTTTTTTGATTTTATAAATTAATTTTTATCTAATATAAAAGTTTTTTAATATGAAAGGTCCTTCAAATGCCTCGCAGGTCATACAAATTTGGATATATTTTTATTATAAATCGGAATTAAGAAATGGAAGAGAACGATATTTCCGGCATCACTTCATTTTTAGTTATTAATTCAAACTGT